CACTGTGCTCTTAGGAACCTTGAGTGCTGCAGAAATTCTTTTGTTACCTTGGCCAGATCTGTGCCTTGCCACAATTCTGTCTCTGAGCTCCTTGGGCAGTTCCTTCGACCTCATGATTCTCATTTGCTCTGACATGCACTGTGAGCTGTAAGGTCTTATATAGACAGGTGTGTGCCTTTCCTAATCAAGTCCAATCAGTTTAATTAAACACAGCTAGACTCCAATGAAGGAGCAGGACCATCTCAAGGAGGATCAGAAGAAATGGACAGCATGTGAGTTAAATATGAGTGTCACAGCAAAGGGTCTGAATACTTATGACCATGTGATATTTCAGTTTTTCTTTTTTAATAAATTTGCAAAAATTTCTACATTTCTGTTTTTTTCTGTCAAGATGGGGTGCTGAGTGTACATTAATGAGAAATAAAATGAACTTTTTTGATTTTAGCAAATGGCTGCAATGAAACAAAGAGTGAAAATTTTAAAGGGGTCTGAATACTTTCCGTACCCACTGTATATATATATTTATTGTTTGTGTTGTTTACTGTGTGCACTGATGTGAATTATGAGTTAAATGTCCAGTGTGTAACACTTTGGGAGGCTCTACTGACAGAAATGGAATATAATTCTTAATTTTTTTATAGTAGCCCAGAACGTACAAATCAAACACCGCCTGTAGACAGGGCCACCATACCTCCTCTTACACGATTTACAGCCTGTTCTCATTCCCAGGTCCTCAAATACAGACGCGAGCCGTGTTCACCGAGTTGCAATCTGCAACTTCACCACTAGATGTCACTAAATCCTACACACTGGTCCTTGGATCTGTTTATGTTTGGTTTATTCTGTCTTTGTTGCTCCATTAAAGCAGTGTGATTTCAAATTGCAGTTTATTTTATATTATTTTATGTGGATACCAGAGGACTAGCAACCACTTTGTTCAAGCTAATGGGAAATAAAGAATGAAGCTACACAAGAACTAATTTTCTCATCTAAATATGTACAGCCAGAAGAGTAGACGTGTCTACCATTTTGAATCATGTATTTCTGCAGAGTTAACTCCACACTGTCAGATTTAAACCTCCCGGTTCCTATAGAACAATAAAGGCCTAACCAGCCCTGCATGCCGCCTACAAGATGGCACAGACACTGACACTGCAGCACTATAAAAACTCTGAGGAACGAATGGAGTCTATTTGGGATACTTTTTCCACATGCACAACGCTATACAACACCCACCTAGGTGATGATGTTACACAGAGACCTGTTGGCACCAAAACACTCACCACCGTTTGTGAGATCTTTCTGGATGTTAGCCCTCCCCCACCCCAAAAAAAAGAGGAGCACTGATGGGAGGGGAGCTTGTGAAAGACCTACGGTATTATCACTGCTAGGACTCCATGCTCGATTAAAGGTCCCTTTCAAAACACAGTTTTACATTCTGCTTCCTTTGCTGTTTCCATAACAACCATGAAGGGATGGAAGAATGTGCTCTATAACCTTCAGGACTCAATGCCGACAAGAAAGCACACACAGCTGCTGCATACGTGCACATATGCATCCGTCAGCTGCAAAGGAAACGCACACACACACACGCACAAAAGGCTGCTGGCTTACTCTGCTAAAGTCTGTGAAATAACACACACAGAAATATGTTCAAACCACAGTATGGCATATTTGTAAACCTGCTGTAGCGCGGTGGAGTGGGGAAGAAAATAAAACCAAGACTCTGTGAGGCGACACACTGCTTTACACCGATCCCCAGATTATTCACTTCATCCTCATTGATGATCAATCATCTGGATCATTTCAGACAGGATATCCCATTAGACACCTACGCACCATCTCATTACCCACAACCCACAAAGTCTGCTTGTGCTTGTTGCTCTCACTCCGTGTCTGTCTCCGTCTCAACGCGCACACACACAGACACACACAGACACACACAGACACACACACACACACACACACACACACACACACACACACACACACACACACACACACACACACACACACACACACACACACACACACACACACACACACACACACACACACACACACCGCTGTGTCTATTACGCTTGACACAGCAGTGGGTATTGATTGAGCGTTTATCATCAAAACAGCTTCTCCTCAGGATCTTGCACTCAACAATAGAGAGAGGCCGAGCAGTCCAATTAGAAAGGGATAGGATGACAGAGGTGGCAGTGGAGGTGAAAAGAGGACAACGGATACCCTGTGTGTGGGGTGTGTGTGTGTGTGTGTGTGTGTGTGTGTGTGTGTTTCCCTGGTGGACATTAATTAGCTTACTTTTTTCAGAGAGAAAGACAGATTATCAACCTCTGACCCCGATCACAGAGCTAACTTAACAACAGAGGGATACACACGTTTGATTTTGCATTGCTTTAAGTACACCTGACGTAAGGCTGACACTAATTACTCCCTAATTCTAAGTCTAACATCTAAACAAGCGTTAATTCTAACCCAATTTTTTTATTCAGTTTTTTACCAATTTGTCCCCAGAAAATTCAAATCCAGCAGATGACCTGTGTTACACATCACTCCACAGCTTCCTCTCCCATCATTTCCTGTAATCTCTTTATTATTAACTCACTAATATAAAAGCACAGAAACGCCCTAACAAAGCAGATCAGATTAAACAGATTTTGTGTTTCCATGCTCTTTAAAGTTGCTGTTTCCTGCTGGAAGAACACGCCGATTAAAAAGAAAATCCTTTTTGAGATAAGCACAACTCAGAATTAGATGGAGATAACAAACAGTGAAAAAAGACATTGGTTGGGAAACACAAATGAAACTCTCATTATAAAAAATGTTACTAAACTAGAGTGTCTTGCTGATGGTATTTATTAGGTCTGACTTTAATCTGAATGTTGGTAGTATTTTACTTTCACATTTTTAGCCCTTTCATTCAAAGTAAACAGTGATGAGGTCCAAGCTTTTATTAAAAAAAACATTTATATGTAAGCATATTTTTATTCATATATCCAATGAATTTGACAAACTGAACTATTTTGTTTTCACATAGCACTGAACTGTTAATGCGCCAACTGACATTTTGGCACGTAACAAGTTTTCTGATCAGTTCCTTACTTCTGTCCACTCAACCATAACCATAAACCCAAACACTGAAGTAGACCCTTACATATGTGAGGACCAGCCAAAATCACCTCATTACACTAATATGAAGTTTAAAGCCCCCAACTGGTTCTCTCAAGGACAGACGAACACACGAACACACACACACACACACACACACACACAGACACACGGACACACAAACCCCCTTGGGTATGCTGACAGGTCTCTGGCTCCTACTGGGTTAATACATAAGAACATGCTTAAGCCCACAAAAAAGACAATTACACACATCTGCAAGCCATTAGGTCTAATCACATACTGCAGCAGAGGCAGAATAACAGAGACCATATATTGGCCCGTGTTCCACACTAATATGTAGTCAGGACTGGAAACTACATGCACAGCTTACTGCTACTCTCATCATAATGAGAATAATCATCAGCGGGAAAAAAAAAAAAAGATCTTCTCCAACAAAGCCTTATTGTCTGAGGGTTTCTACGATACCATACCAACCAATGACAGAACAATACAGCCAGCCTTGTCAAACAACTGTTGTTCATCGTTTCCTCCTCCTGTGTGGCGAGGAGCACAATGGGATTAGAAGGGATTAGTCTAGTCCAGAAAAATAAACTCAAGCATGTCATGAACGATGAAGGTGACATAAAGTGAATGAGGTGTTTTGGCTGGAAGTGAGATTTTTTTTTTTGTCCTCAGATTGTCTCCACAGTAGATTCACCAGTGTCTTTATGTTTAATTGCACTAATAAGAAATAATCTGCAGAGGTGAAAGTGTGTTGTGCTCTGTGAGTGTCGTCATGGTCACTGTCCTTGTTTTCATGTTGATGGACACAAAGCTAGAAAAAGTCTCTTTTACCCACGTATCTGTACTTGAGTATTTCTTTTTTTGACAACTTTTTTCTTTTACCTTCTACATTCTGCATTTTCATAATAATATAATATAATATAATATAATATAATATATATACAAATATAAAATATAATGCATTTGATGGGATTCCTTTTTTTTTTGGCATCATTGCACACCTACCCAACATCAAGACCACTGAACAAGACGAATACAACAAGACCCTATGTAAAGTTTAAGTTAGCTTTGCAAAGATACAGCCAGTAGAAATGTCCTTCAGAGAAACCAACAGAGTAGTTTTTACTGACCCTGTCTCCGGTTCACCATTTTTCCTTCCTTGGACCACTTTCGATAGGTACTGATCACTGCAGACTGGGAACACCCCATAAGAGCTGCAGTTTTTTGACCCAGTCGTCTAACCATGAACCACTGAACTTGAAGACAAAATGTTCATTTGCTGCCTAATATATCCCACCCACTGACAGGTGCCATGATAACCAGATAACCAGTGTTCACTTCCCCTGTCAGTGCTCAGAATGGTATGGCTGATCGGTGTATAAATCATTCTTCATGGAAGTCTCCTCTCCGAGAGAACAAGCGAGCTATGTGCATCAAATTATTGCTTTTATTCAACTCATGATGAACCTATACTGCGGGTGAAAGCAAAGAAATAAGGGCTTCTCACAGGAAGGATATGTTTATTTAATGGCACCTGCACACTGAAGGTCAAACATAAGAATAATAAAAGCATTAGATACATGATTTCCACCACACGTATCCATCATCATCTGTTTTTAGGAGTGTGTTCAGTGTGTAGGCATCTTTTTCTCATGAGATTGCTTAAGTCTAACATCATGTTGGGATCTGCCTACACTACCTTGAAGCATCACTTCTCAAAATATAAAAAATTGGTGACAGTAGCTTTCCAGCAAGTCATCAAAGGCTGTTAAATGTCTAGGATGTTAAATCAAGTTTAATCACAGCTGTGAAACATATAAGGATCGCCAATGTAGATTTCACTGTGCTTGTGTTCATAC